GAATATAGTGGTGACTGGATAAGGAGAGGAAATAAATACACTACAGAAAATTTACAAAATGGCTTGAAAACATCTTGCCCCTAACACAACCCACAATAATCTTGATGTGCTGCCGTAAAAAATTCTAAATTTCTTTTACAGTGGCTTGTTGGTCTAGGGGTATGATTCTCGCTTTGGGTGCGAGAGGTCCCGGATTCATTCCCGGACGAGCCCAGTGGTATATGGTCAAAATCCATTCCTCAATGGTGTCTGGATTGTCGATCCAGCAGAGTCCGTTATGGCCACATTGTCTGCCGCTCTTAGGAATTTCGCTAGCGACAAACCACCTTCTCCAAATATACTTTATTTTTTATTAAAATGTATAATCAATATTTAATGAGAAACAAACAAAACCACACGGTCGAATATAGTGGTGACTGGATAAGGAGAGGAAATAAATACACTACAGAAAATTTACAAAATGGCTTGAAAACATCTTGCCCCTAACACAACCCACAATAATCTTGATGTGCTGCCGTAAAAAATTCTAAATTTCTTTTACAGTGGCTTGTTGGTCTAGGGCTTATGATTCTCGCTTTGGGTGCGAGAGGTCCCGGATTCATTCCCGGACGAGCCCAGTGGTATATGGTCAAAATCCATTCCTCAATGGTGTCTGGATTGTCGATCCAGCAGAGTCCGTTATGGCCACATTGTCTGCCGCTCTTAGGAGTTTCGCTAGCGACAAACCACCTTCTCCAAATATACTTTTTTTTTATTAAAATGTATAATCAATATTTAATGAGAAACAAACAAAACCACACGGTCGGATATAAGGAGAGGAAATAAATACACTACAGAAATTTCCAAAATGGCTTGAAAACATCTTGCCCCTAACACAACCCACAATAATCTTGATGTGCTGCCGTAAAAAAAAAAAATCAAATTCATTTTTACGGTGGCTCGTTGGTCTAGCAGGGTATGATTCTCGCTTTGGGTGCGAGAGGTCCCTGGTTCAAATCCCGGACGAGCCCAGTGTTATATTTATATTCAGTGCAGTCGGACAGTGACTAAATCAATCTGGTCGAAAACCATTCCTCAATGTTGTCTGGAGTGATGATCTAGCAGCGCCTATTTTGTCCACATTGTCTGTCGCTCTTAGGAATTTTGCTAGCGACAAACCACCCCACCTTATCTAATTGTTTTTCACTTTTTATTAAATTTTATAGTCAATATTTAATGAGAAACAAACAAAACCACATGGTTGGATATAATGGTGACTGGATAAAGAGAGGAAATTGTTATGGAATTTTATGATCACTCAAGAAGTTTATTAACATGTAAGTCTTATAGATGTTGTTTAGGCCAAAAGGCACAGAGGAAAGAATGTTTAGGATAAAGTTTCATGATAGGGGACACATGTCTATTGACCTATTGACCTCAAGAAAGGTCCTGGGAAGGAAATAGATGTCACTAAGTAACTTTGCGGCTTGGCTTGGCAAAGTATGGAATTGTATGGGCCTTTGTCTGTTAAGAAAAACAAAGATAGTTGACCTCCTCCTTAAGTTCATAAGGCAATGACCTGGTGGTTATCTGATGAACACATGTGGTCTCCACTCATACTGCTTGAGGCACAGGGGTCAGGTTTTGACATCCCCCCTTGTGCCAATCAAACTGTCCTGCCTACTTCTGAGGATACATCTGTCTTCCATCAATACTGTGTGTCAAGTATGTGCGTTACTGATTCTCCATAAATACTGTGTGAACTTCTATCTCATCAGGTCAGTCTGATCCAGCACAGGTTATTGTCCTGTTGTCTGATGAAGACTTTCCTCAAACCTATTCTTTAAGCTTGCTATAGGGATTGATCTGATCAATGCAAAAGCTTAAACCTGTATTTGAGAAATGGTTTCTTACTTGCAATTAAACCTGTTAAAAGTGTCAGACTGTAACATACTCTCGTGCGTCTTACTTTAAGTTCGAATTCAGCGATTAAAGTCTAAAATTTCCACGACACTTGGGGGCATCGTCCGAGATTCTTAACAAAGTAATCCGTATTTTTTCCAAAACAGGCTACATATCCTAAAGAGCGATATAATTTTTTTTTTTTTTTTTAAAAATAATAGGCCAGGACTGTCTTTGGAGATATGTGATTCTATACAGAATTTTGAAACTCAAGGACCTACAAATGCTGAATTGGGACAATGTTGGACGACAGTTTGACAACGGTTTTGATAAATTAACAAAATAGGCTCGTTAATTTTGCCTTAATTCGTAAGGTTATTGTAAGATTTTAAACTTGGCTTAAAAATGGAAAACAGTACTTCTAATCGGGTATTTGTTGATTTTGGTCTGGTAAAACGTGCACGTCAGGAATTATTAATTTCTGCAGCTCCAATCCTCCTCAACAAATGGGTGAGTGGAGAGCGCCAGACTGGAGCAATATTTACCTGTATGAAGTGTTAATACCTGTGTACAGTAGGAATAAAATGCTGTTCAATATAGGTTATCTGGGTGCGGTGAGACAGCTCGGTTATTCAGGATATCTCACTTAAAAGAACTGACGAGTTCATTAACACATATAGGACACTTCATTATATGCTAAAATTAGATTTTCGTCTTAAATATTGATAACAACATGGGTAATTACATGTGTATTGGTAAACCTTCGGTGGATACTGAACGTTACGTTGTTGGACCGGCTAAAATAATGACAGACAAATACGGAGACTGGACATGCGAACAATTAGACCTGTGGGAGTTATTGGGATTTCCTGCGGATGGCAGTTTTAGTCAGAGACAGATACTGTTGTTGAAAGACAAGTTGGAGGATTTTGAACAGGGTAAAATTAAGGTTTCACGGGGTAATCGGCAGAAAGTAGATTGGAAGGCATATAATAAGTGGAGAGAGCAGACTGATATACGGGCTAAGCGGTGTAGCACGGGGCTTGTTAATCGGTGTGTTCTAGCTTGTCCCAACCAGGTTGATGCTGCCTGTCCTCCTGCTGACCGACCCCACCCTATCGCGGCGTTACCACAACAGCCCCAGCGGTACCAACTATGCCAACAGCATCGGACCTGATGGAAAACATTCGCGGAGGAGGACTCTACCCATCCGTATTCGGCCTCCACAGAGTTTCACACGCCGCTGAGAGGACCCAGAGTACCACTGCGGCCTGTCCCAGAGAACAACACAGCATTGATGCCGGGCAATTCCCTATGGTGGAGGTAGCCAACCCAGCTGGTGGAGGAGACACGGATAACCCAGCGACTATACTAGTCTACAGACCGTGGTCACCCGCCGACCTGAGAGACGTGGCTTCTACACTACCTGACCCAGAAACAGAAGGTGGAGAGGAATTTGTCCGTGTGTTTCTACAGATCGTGAATCAATATAGACCGACCTCTGTGGAGATTGAAACAATTTTGATGAAGGCCTTGCAACTAAAATGGGGGAGAGTGAAAAGAAACTGGCCTAGCGAGAGAAACATTATGTTCAATTGGGATGCGCACTCTGACTACCGGAGTGCTGTGGAACAGCTGAGCACTGGACTTATCGCTGCTTTTCCTAAGCGAATGAACTGGGAAAAGATCGCTGATTGTAAACAGACACTGGGCGAGAAAGTTTCAGACTACAGGAATAGACTCGAAAAAGCTTTTGAATTACACAGCGGAATGGGAAAGAGACCGGACGGTGATGAAGAGTCGGCCTGGGAGCAACAGTGTAAAATGAGGTTAGTTGCAGGCCTTCTACCAGACATTAGGAAGCACATTCAAAACCACTGTGTAGACCTGGATGAGGGTCGCATGGAAACCGTCTGGCCGTATTTTAAGCACGCTGAAAGAGTCTACGAGGACCAGCTGTACAAACAGACCGAAGAAAGACGGGAGCGTGAAACGCAAATTCAGATGGCCCAACTGGAGTTCTACAGCAGAGGCTACTCAGGAGGGAGACGGAGACGGAGAGCAAGCAGGAGAGGACAATACAGACACCAGGGTGATAACTCCAGCCAAAGTCCCAACTCTGATAGCTGTTTCAACTGTGGTGCATTTGGACACTGGGCTCGTGACTGCACTGTGCCGGACACTAGAGACTATTACCATGGGAACAGAGACAGTATGGGAGACGGTGATGGCACAACAGCAGACAACGAAATGGAGCGTCACAGGACCCATGGCTGCCACGGACGGGGGTACTGACGGTCAGAGGGGACGGGCAGGAAAACATCAACCCGGTGAGATCAAACCATTGTGATTCCTGTAATTAGTTAATTATGTCAGTATTTACAGTAAAAGTAATTTTGTTCGGATGTTAAGTGAAGACTTGTTTATTCTGAGTGTTGAGTTGCTATGCAGACGTATGGTTGTGTGAGATTTTCGTTCCACTGGGGAGGAGTACCGGTGTCTTGGCACTATGCTTACGCTTAAAGTTAGGTGTTTAGCGTAGTGTAGCGTACATTGCGTATCGCCTGATAAACGGGGTTTGTCAGGTCCGTGCAGCTCGGGAGCGTGACTGGACCCATGATGGTTGATTTCTCATTGTCCCTAGTTTACCGGTTACAACTAGGGACTGCATATATAGCTACTGTCAGGGTAAATTCTCAGTAGAAATCAGCTCATTGTTAGTGAGAGGTCTTATTTTTCGCTGTCCAGGTTCGTTCGTACGCGTACGCAAATATCATATTAAAATGACCTATAGGTGTGATTCATGCATGATCTGGGGTAAAGCTTCATGAAGTTGGGACAGGGGTCCCAGGCCAAAGTTTTGTCGACACATTTATTTTCAGGTTTTCCTGTGCACGAGGAATTCCTATTTTATTGTATTATTTGTCTTAGGCATTATGTAACATCTGCGCTAATGACATAATTAAGAGTATTTCCGATTATAACTCTGCATGTTTTACCTGGAATACTATATGTTCCATTTTGTTTGTTTTGTAGGAGGACTACATTCTAGGTTATAGGGAGATTATATTCTAGTTATATGCTATGGTTATTCGTTTTGTGAAGTTGAATAAGGACATTTGGATTTGTTCCTATAAATGTTGGCATGATGATATAATGAATGACCATGTGGGTTAAGTGTATTTCTGATACACCCTTTTATTGTTATTATTGGCTTTTGGCTATTTTGAGTAACATATTTTAAGACATTCTGAGTTCTTGATTGTTAAAAGGGCAGAAAGTTAACTGTAACTCTGTGTCTGCCTGTCTAGAGATGGTTTCTGTTAATTTAGGGGTGTTTATGAACTTTTCTCTGACCCTCCCTGGGGTGCTTCTCTGGCTCAAAAGAGGGGGCACACCCAACTTGTTTATTTAGAGGGGGGGCTGGTTTAGTGTGTGATTGTGAGGTGGCTCAGCCCAGAGCTAACAGATGGCTGGTCATAAACCATATTTTAGTCATGTGTTTTATCTTAGATAAATTTAACAAGTTTGTCTATGACAGTTAGTTTGTTTTCTCCATTGTTGATGAACTGAAGGAGAAAACAAGAGGGGAAGTGACGTAATAAACATATTCAAGAATATAGCATTTGTTAAATTTGGATTTCAGGCAATTGAAGTGTTTAATTTGATAGAATGTCTAAACATTTGAATGATTGAGGGAATAGCTATTACAAATGTATTTGGCTTAGCAAAATTAAATCTGAGCAGTGAACACAATGTAATTATATTGTTAAAGATGTTAACTGACACATGGAATGCAATAACTGTTTGCAGGTTGTGTCGCATTAAAAATCAACAGGTTGGACCATGAACAACTGGAGCAGAGCATCTGAGCCCTACCCCCACGCACACACAAACACACATATATCAGAAGCTAACTGAATGACTTTAGGTACAGACCACAGAAAAGGTCAAACCAGAACCAAGGAAAAACGTGTCATCCAGACCACAAAGAAGGCAATTACTAAATTGTGTGAATGTTATTGTACACTTTTCAAGGAAGTTATGGACTGTAAAGAGAAAAAGGTGAACATGTTGCAGATTTCAGAAATTATCTTGAACGTCGGTTTGAGTTGTACAAAGGAAAAACAAGAACATTGAACACACACATATTGCATCTCTGGACTATTAAAGAATGGCCACTGTTTGGCCACACTCATTAAAGACGTTGAAGGAGCCTACCAGAGCTGAGAAGATGGAAAAGGAAAATTTATACACTCACACCATGATTAAAATCTTCATTTCTGATGATCAAAGAGTGCCAACATATTTACTGATGTTTTCTTAATGATTAGTTCCTCACACACTAGATGGAGGACTAGAAATCCAGAATATGAAAATGACACTGTTGAATGTTGCTAAGTACTGTACTGACATTGGATTATTTCAATTGATTGTGTATTATGTTTGGTAAAATTATTTTTCTTAACAGGTTACAGTTTCAGACGTATGACAGTGGTGGGTCCATATATTCCTGATTGGTTATGAGTAATTATTAAGCTTGAGTGAACTAAAATTTAGAGTTGACACTCTTAAATTGTTTAACATGATTAAGGGTTTATAATGTTAAAAAGGGCAGATTGTTATGGAATTTTATGATCACTCAAGAAGTTTATTAACATGTAAGTCCTATAGATGTTGTTTAGGCCAAAAGGCACAGAGGAAAGAATGTTTAGGATAAAGTTTCATGATAGGGGACACATGTCTATTGACCTATTGACCTCAAGAAAGGTCCTGGGAAGGAAATAGATGTCACTAAGTAACTTTGCGGCTTGGCTTGGCAAAGTATGGAATTGTATGGGCCTTTGTCTGTTAAGAAAAACAAAGATAGTTGACCTCCTCCTTAAGTTCATAAGGCAATGACCTGGTGGTTATCTGATGAACACATGTGGTCTCCACTCATACTGCTTGAGGCACAGGGGTCAGGTTTTGACATCCCCCCTTGTGCCAATCAAACTGTCCTGCCTACTTCTGAGGATACATCTGTCTTCCATCAATACTGTGTGTCAAGTATGTGAGTTACTGATTCTCCATAAATACTGTGTGAACTTCTATCTCATCAGGTCAGTCTGATCCAGCACAGGTTATTGTCCTGTTGTCTGATGAAGACTTTCCTCAAACCTATTCTTTAAGCTTGCTATAGGGATTGATCTGATCAATGCAAAAGCTTAAACCTGTATTTGAGAAATGGTTTCTTACTTGCAATTAAACCTGTTAAAAGTGTCAGACTGTAACATACTCTCGTGCGTCTTACTTTAAGTTCGAATTCAGCGATTAAAGTCTAAAATTTCCACGACAAAATACAAACACTATAAAAAATACAAAATTTCTTGTAAACATCTTTCCCTTATTGCAACCCACAATAATCCTGATGTGCTGCTGTAAACAATTGGACAATAGTTTTTAGTGGTGGCTCGTTGGTCCAAGGTAAGGATTCTCGCATCCGGTGCAAGAGGTCCCGGATTCATTCCCGGACGAGCCCAGTGGTATATGGTCAAAATCCATTCCTCAATGGTGTCTGGATTGTCGATCCAGCAGAGTCCGTTATGGCCACATTGTCTGCCGCTCTTAGGAATTGCGCTAGCGACAAACCACCTTCTCCAAATATACTGTATTTTTTATTAAAATGTATAATCAATAATTAATGAGAAACAAACAAAACCACACGGTCGGATATAAGGAGAGGAAATAAATACACTACAGAAAATTTCCAAAATGGCTTGAAAACATCTTGCCCCTAACACAACCCACAATAATCTTGATGTGCTGCCGTAAAAAAATTCAAAATCATTTTTGTAGTGGCTTGTTGGTCTAGGGGTATGATTCTCGCTTTGGGTGCGAGAGGTCCCGGGTTCAAATCCCGGACGAGCCCAGTGGTATTTTTATATTCAGTGCAGTCGGACAGTGACTCCATCAATCTGGTCGAAATCCATTCCTCAATGGTGTCTGGAGTGATGATCTAGCAGCGCCTATTTTGTCCACATTGTCTGTCGCTCATAGGAGTTTTGCTAGCGACAAACCACCCCACCTTCTCTAATTGTTTTTCACTTTTAATTAAATTGTATAGTCAATATTTAATGATAAACAAAAAAAAACCCACACGGTCGGATATAATGGTGACTGGATAAGGAGAGGAAATACAAACACTATAAAAAATACAAAATGTCTTGTAAACATCTTTCCCTTATTGCAACCCACAATAATCCTGATGTGCTGCTGTAAACAATTGGACAATAGCTTTTAGTTGTGGCTCGTTGGTCCAGGGGAAGGATTCTCGCTTCCGGTGCGAGAGGTCCCGTATTCATTCCCGGACGAGCCCAGTGGTATATGGTCAAAATCCATTTCTCAATGGTGTCTGGATTGTCGATCCAGCAGAGTCCGTTATGGCCACATTGTCTGCCGCTCTTAGGAATTTTGCTAGCGACAAACCACTTTCTCCAAATATACTTTATTTTTTATTAAAATGTATAATCAATATTTAATGAGAAACAAACAAAACCACACGGTCGAATATAGTGGTGACTGGATAAGGAGAGGAAATAAATACACTACAGAAAATTTACAAAATGGCTTGAAAACATCTTGCCCCTAACACAACCCACAATAATCTTGATGTGCTGCCGTAAAAAAATTCAAAATTTCTTTTACAGTGGCTTGTTGGTCTAGGGGTATGATTCTCGCTTTGGGTGCGAGAGGTCCCGGATTCATTCCCGGACGAGCCCAGTGGTATATGGTCAAAATCCATTCCTCAATGGTGTCTGGATTGTCGATCCAGCAGAGTCCGTTATGGCCACATTGTCTGCCGCTCTTAGGAATTTCGCTAGCGACAAACCACCTTCTCCAAATATACTTTATTTTTTATTAAAATGTATAATCAATATTTAATGAGAAACAAACAAAACCACACGGTCGAATATAGTGGTGACGGTCGAATATAGTGGTGACTGGATAAGGAGAGGAAATAAATACACTACAGAAAATTTACAAAATGGCTTGAAAACATCTTGCCCCTAACACAACCCACAATAATCTTGATGTGCTGCCGTAAAAAAATTCTAAATTTCTTTTACAGTGGCTTGTTGGTCTAGGGGTATGATTCTCGCTTTGGGTGCGAGAGGTCCCGGATTCATTCCCGGACGAGCCCAGTGGTATATGGTCAAAATCCATTCCTCAATGGTGTCTGGATTGTCGATCCAGCAGAGTCCGTTATGGCCACATTGTCTGCCGCTCTTAGGAATTTCGCTAGCGACAAACCACCTTCTCCAAATATACTTTATTTTTTATTAAAATGTATAATCAATATTTAATGAGAAACAAACAAAACCAACCGAATATAGTGGTGACTGGATATAAATATCTTTTACAGGAGAGGAAATAAATACACTACAGAAAATTTCCAAAATGGCTTGAAAACATCTTGCCCCTAACACAACCCACAATAATCTTGATGTGCTGCCGTAAAAAAATTCAAAATTTCTTTTACAGTGGCTTGTTGGTTTAGGGGTATGATTCTCGCTTTGGGTGCGAGAGGTCCCGGATTCATTCCCGGACGAGCCCAGTGGTATATGGTCAAAATCCATTCCTCAGTGGTGTCTGGATTGTCGATCCAGCAGAGTCCGTTATGGCCACATTGTCTGCCGCTCTTAGGAATTTCGCTAGCGACAAACCACCTTCTCCAAATATACTTTATTTTTTATTAAAATGTATAATCAATATTTAATGAGAAACAAACAAAACCACACGGTCGGATATAAGGAGAGGAAATAAATACACTACAGAAAATTTCCAAAATGGCTTGAAAACATCTTGCCCCTAACACAACCCACAATAATCTTGATGTGCTGCCGTAAAAAAATTCAAAATCATTTTTACAGTGGCTCGTTGGTCTAGGGGTATGATTCTCGCTTTGGGTGCAATATTTAATGAGAGGTTCCCGGGTACAAATCCCGGACGAGCCCAGTGTTATATTTATATTCAGTGCAGTCGGACAGTGACTAAATCAATCTGGTCGAAATCCATTCCTCAATGGTGTCTGGAGTGATGATCTAGCAGCGCCTATTTTGTCCACATTGTCTGTCGCTCTTAGGAATTTTGCTAGCGACAAACCACCCCACCTTCTCTAATTGTTTTTCACTTTTTATTAAATTTTATAGTCAATATTTAATGAGAAACAAACAAAACCACATGGTTGGATATAATGGTGACTGGATAAAGAGAGGAAATACAAACACTATAAAAAATACAAAATTTCTTGTAAACATCTTTCCCTTATTGCAACCCACAATAATCCTGATGTGCTGCTGTAAACAATTGGACAATAGTTTTTAGTGGTGGCTCGTTGGTCCAAGGTAAGGATTCTCGCATCCGGTGCAAGAGGTCCCGGATTCATTCCCGGACGAGCCCAGTGGTATATGGTCAAAATCCATTCCTCAATGGTGTCTGGATTGTCGATCCAGCAGAGTCCGTTATGGCCACATTGTCTGCCGCTCTTAGGAATTTAGCGACAAACCACCTTCTCCAAATATACTTTTTTTTTATTAAAATGTATAATCAATATTTAATGAGAAACAAACAAAACCACACGGTCGGATATAAGGAGAGGAAATAAATACACTACAGAAAATTTCCAAAATGGCTTGAAAACTCTTGCAAATAATCTTGATGTGCTTTATTTTTTTTATTAAAATGTATAAAAATCAATATTGTCGATTAATGAGAAAAACCAAAATATACTTTATTTTTTAAAAATGTATAATCAATATTTAATGAGAAACAAACAAAACCACGGTCGGATATAAGGAGAGGAAATAAATACACTACAGAAAATTTACAAAATGGCTTGAAAACATCTTGCCCCTAACACAACCCACAATAATCTTGATGTGCTGCCGTAAAAAAAATCAAAATCATTTTTACAGTGGCTCGTTGGTCTAGGGTATGATTCTCGCTTTGGGTGCGAGAGGTCCCGGGTTCAAATCCCGGACGAGCCCAGTGTTATATTTATATTCAGTGCAGTCGGACAGTGACTAAATCAATCTGGTCGAAATCCATTCCTCAATGGTGTCTGGAGTGATGATCTAGCAGCGCCTATTTTGTCCACATTGTCTGTCGCTCTTAGGAATTTTGCTAGCGACAAACCACCCCACCTTATCTAATTGTTTTTCACTTTTTATTAAATTGTATAGTCAATATTTAATGATAAACAAAAAAAAACCCACACGGTCGGATATAATGGTGACTGGATAAGGAGAGGAAATACAAACACTATAAAAAATACAAAATGTCTTGTAAACATCTTTCCCTTATTGCAACCCACAATAATCCTGATGTGCTGCTGTAAACAATTGGACAATAGCTTTTAGTTGTGGCTCGTTGGTCCAGGGGAAGGATTCTCGCTTCCGGTGCGAGAGGTCCCGTATTCATTCCCGGACGAGCCCAGTGGTATATGGTCAAAATCCATTTCTCAATGGTGTCTGGATTGTCGATCCAGCAGAGTCCGTTATGGCCACATTGTCTGCCGCTCTTAGGAATTTTGCTAGCGACAAACCACTTTCTCCAAATATACTTTATTTTTTATTAAAATGTATAATCAATATTTAATGAGAAACAAACAAAACCACACGGTCGAATATAGTGGTGACTGGATAAGGAGAGGAAATAAATACACTACAGAAAATTTACAAAATGGCTTGAAAACATCTTGCCCCTAACACAACCCACAATAATCTTGATGTGCTGCCGTAAAAAATTCTAAATTTCTTTTACAGTGGCTTGTTGGTCTAGGGGTATGATTCTCGCTTTGGGTGCGAGAGGTCCCGGATTCATTCCCGGACGAGCCCAGTGGTATATGGTCAAAATCCATTCCTCAATGGTGTCTGGATTGTCGATCCAGCAGAGTCCGTTATGGCCACATTGTCTGCCGCTCTTAGGAATTTCGCTAGCGACAAACCACCTTCTCCAAATATACTTTATTTTTTATTAAAATGTATAATCAATATTTAATGAGAAACAAACAAAACCACACGGTCGAATATAGTGGTGACTGGATAAGGAGAGGAAATAAATACACTACAGAAAATTTACAAAATGGCTTGAAAACATCTTGCCCCTAACACAACCCACAATAATCTTGATGTGCTGCCGTAAAAAATTCTAAATTTCTTTTACAGTGGCTTGTTGGTCTAGGGGTATGATTCTCGCTTTGGGTGCGAGAGGTCCCGGATTCATTCCCGGACGAGCCCAGTGGTATATGGTCAAAATCCATTCCTCAATGGTGTCTGGATTGTCGATCCAGCAGAGTCCGTTATGGCCACATTGTCTGCCGCTCTTAGGAATTTCGCTAGCGACAAACCACCTTCTCCAAATATACTTTTTTTTTAATTAAAATGTATAATCAATATTTAATGAGAAACAAACAAAACCACACGGTCGGATATAAGGAGAGGAAATAAATACACTACAGAAATTTCCAAAATGGCTTGAAAACATCTTGCCCCTAACACAACCCACAATAATCTTGATGTGCTGCCGTAAAAAATTCAAAATTTCTTTTACAGTGGCTTGTTGGTTTAGGGGGTATGATTCTCGCTTTGGGTGCGAGAGGTCCCTATAAAAAATACAAAATTTCTTGTAAACATCTTTCCCTTATTGCAACCCACAATAATCCTGATGTGCTGCTGGATTCATTCCCGGACGAGCCCAGTGGTATATGGTCAAAATCCATTCCTCAGTGGTGTCTGGATTGTCGATCCAGCAGAGTCCGTTATGGCCACATTGTCTGCCGCTCTTAGGAATTTCGCTAGCGACAAACCACCTTCTCCAAATATACTTTATTTTTTATTAAAATGTATAATCAATAATTAATGAGAAACAAACAAAACCACACGGTCGGATATAAGGAGAGGAAATAAATACACTACAGAAAATTTCCAAAATGGCTTGAAAACATCTTGCCCCTAACACAACCCACAATAATCTTGATGTGCTGCCGTAAAAAATTCAAAATCATTTTTACAGTGGCTCGTTGGTCTAGGGGTATGATTCTCGCTTTGGGTGCGAGAGGTCCCGGGTTCAAATCCCGGACGAGCCCAGTGTTATTTTTATATTCAGTGCAGTCGGACAGTGACTCCATCAATCTGGTCGAAATCCATTCCTCAATGGTGTCTGGAGTGATGATCTAGCAGCGCCTATTTTGTCCACATTGTCTGTCACTTGGAGTAAGGACTCATTCCCTACCCGGAGTAGGCACTCCACCGGTTTCCTGCTGAGAGTCATGGCCTCAGATTTAGAGGTGCTAACCCTCATCCCAGCCGCTTCACACTCGGCTGCGGACCCGATCCAGTGAGTGCTGAAGGTCACCGACCGATGAGGCCATCAGGACCACATCATCCGCAAAAAGCAGTGATGTGACCATCAGCCCACCGAGCGGGAACCCCTCCCCCCATGACTACGCCTTGATATCCTGTCCATGAATATTACAAACAGGATTGGTGACAAAGCGCAGCCCTGGCGGAGGCCAACCCCCACCTGGAACGAATCCGACTTACTGCCGAGGACACGGACACAGCTCATGCTTTGAGCGTACAGGGTGGATGGCCCTGAGAAGAGACCCCCTCACCCCATACTCCCGCAGCACCTCCCACAAAAGATCCCGGGGTACCCGGTCATACGCCTTCTCCAGATCCACAAAACACATGTAGACTGGATGGGCATACTCCCAGGCCCCCTCCAGGATCCTTGCGAGAGTAAAGAGCTGGTCCGTGGTTCCCGGCCAGGACGAAAACCGCATTGTTCCTCTTCAATCTGAGGTTCGACTATTGGCCGAACCCTCCTTTCCAGCACTTTGGAGTACACTTTACCAGGGAGGCTGAGGAGTGTGATACCTCTGTAATTGGCACACACTCTCTGGTCCCCCTTTTTAAGAGGGAACCACCACCCCGGTCTGCCACTCCTCTGGCACTGTCCCAGACTTCCATGCAATGTTGAAGGGCGTGTCAACCAAGACAGCCCTTCCCCACCCAAAGCTTTTAGCATTTCTGGACGAATCTCATCAGTCCCTGGGGCTTTGCCACTGTGGAGTTGTTTGACTACCTCAGCGACTTCCCCCAGGGAAACTGACGATGACCCTCCATCAGCCTCCAGCTCTGCCTCTGTACTAGAGGGCGTGTAGGTCGGATTCAGGAGCTCCTCAAAATGCTCTTTCCAGCGCCCGATCACATCATCAGTTGAGGTCAACAGTGTCCCATCCTTACTGTACACAGCTTGGATGGTTCCCGTTTTCCCCTTCTGAGGTGCCGAGCGGTTTTCCAGAAGCATTTTGGTGCCGACCGAAAGTCCTTCTCCATAGCTTCTCCAAACTTCTCCCACACCCGCTGCTTTGCCTCTGACACGGCAGCGGCTGCAGCCTCGGGCCTGTCGGTACCCTGCAACTGCCTCCGGAGTCCCCAGGGCTAGCATATCCCTGAAGGCCTCCTTCTTCAGTCGGACAGCTTCCCTGACCACCGTGGTCCACCACGGTGTTCTAGGAATTACCACCCCTTGAGGCACCTAGGACCTTGAGACCACAGCTCACCGCCGCAGCTTCAGCAATAGAAGCTTTGAACATTGCCCACTCAGGTTCAATGCCCCCAACCTCCACAGGGATGCCTGAAAAGCTCCGCCGGAGGTGTGAGTTGAAGATCTTTCGGACAGGGGCCTCCTCCAGGCGTTCCCAGTTCACCCGCACCACCCGTTTGGGCTTACCTGGTCTGTCCAAAGTCTTTCCCCACCCTCTGATCCAACTCACTACCAGATGGTGATCAGTTGACAGCTCTGCCCCTCTCTTCACCCGAGTGTCCAAAACATGCGGCCTTAGATCAGCCGATACGATCACAAAATCGATCATTGACCTTCGGCCTAGGGTGCTCTGGTACCATGTACACTTATGCGCCTCCTTATGTTCGAACATGGTGTTTGTTAT